AAGATCAAAATGAAGGAGAAATGAAAATGCAGGACGAACTAATTAAGCGTTACGTTCATTTAATTTGACTAACTTGATGATACAAGTAACGCTCGTCTGTGTGACTCGCTTGACCGTCGACTGGATATTCGGCTCTTTCAATGTTTTATACCGATTTACAGTCTTTAACACAGCTAGTATCCAATGTTTCAAAAGAGTAGGTAGGTGTGTGTAACCTAATATTAGCGTCAATCTCGTTATGCACAATGGTATGCGGGTCCAGATGAACATTTTTGTTACAAATACACTTAATCAAATTGATACCCTCACATTCATACTCAAGAAAAATCTAAAGAACTACACTATGACGGTGATATGCACATGTACCCGAAACAAGAGTTTAGATTCAGCTTTCTGAAAGGTGATGAATCAAAACGCATTCGCAACACTATTGTGAGAATGTGCCATACTCCTTAAAGTTTCTACTACTAATACTAAAAATACATTTAGACAAAAGTTTTTCTAAGATTTTTGCAATTTTTGATATAATAAAAAAAAATCTCATTACTTTTCCTATGTTCTAATTAGATATTCAGTTTCTCATAAAAAAAACACATTAAATTATTTCAAATCAATAATCGAATCAAAGACTTAGAAAGATGATTGAATTTTAATTGACAAGATCTCATTTTACTCAATAGTCTAAAATTGATAAGAGTTTTTCTACTTGTTTAAATCGAATCTTAAGGCTGCTCAATTTGCGTTTATCATCATCTAATATTTTCAAACACAATTGGAACTATTTTGAGATGAATTTTTTTAGTCTATTCATAATCTTATGATGATTTCGATCATCGATACTTCTTAAATGTAAATAATGTATAATCTACACAAATAATACGATTTTATATAAACTAAAGTAATTAGCAACCTGTTATAGAAGGCTTTTAATGTTTTGAATTTAAAGTCAAAAAAAAAATTAAACCTTTCAGTCTGAAAAATTTGAGGGTATGGGGTCTCTAATTCTAGATCTATTCTATTATATCTATATGATATAAAAAAAGAAATTATAGAAATTTCCGTAATTACTAAAGTTTCTAGGTAATTACCGAAATTATCAAAAATTCTTTTATTTTTTTGAGGGTAGGAGTCTCTAAATCTGTGTCTAAGCTATTATGTCTATATGATATAAAGAAAGAAATTACAGAAATTTCGTAGGAATTACGGAAGTTTCTGGGAAATTTCAGGTGAGAGTTCTTCTCGTATATAAAGGTGATTTCAACTTTTTGTGAAATTTTCGTTATCGTGTAATGGTAAATTCAGTAATATCTGAGAAATTATTGACTGAGAACTAATTTATTTTGGAAATTTCCTGGTGATTTCATTCGCATGTGCTAGTATTTTCTGTAAGTAGTGATAAATACTAGGACTATTTCGGAAGAAGGTCAGGAACTGTTTTTATTTTCAATTTGCATAGATAAACACATTGAAAGTGTATAAAACGTAGAATTTTCGGTAATGTCTAAAGAATGCTGCTATCTAAACTCAAAATGAAACTTGATCAGAAATAGATTATAGAAATTCATCGAATGAATCGTTTTTTTCGTTTCTAACTTCATAAATACTAACCAGTCGAGTGTTTAAGAAATCATTTTATCCTACTGACATTAGATTGGCATGCCTAAAAGGACAAATCATTCCAGATTGACATTGAATTTTATGCTGACTCCTAGTCGGAGCTACGTAACAAAGATCGCGTTGAAGAATTTCGAATACTATGAATGCTTGATATATATTTAATAAACAAGATTATCCATCGTTCTGATGTTATTCGATGCTAAAGTTCCAATTATGTATTTTAAAAACCGTATATATTTGGAAAAAGATATTTATTTTCAATCAAAGTTAAAAGAGAAGCAAATAAAAATGGTCATAAGTTGATCCACTTTATTTGACAATCTTCCATTGATTGATTTGATTCGGATTGTATAGGATCATTTCTATCGAGATAAATCGTCATCAATGCCTTTAAAGAAAATAACATTAATATATAGAAGAACAGTATCGAGTGAAATCTACCTTGCTATTTTGTAGAGTATCGCGAAAATGTTCTGCACCAGTAGTTGTTATTTTATTCAATCGAAGATTCAATGTAGTGAGTGTCTATACATATAAATAAAAACGTATGTAGGAGACATTTAGAAAAACAATAATGAGAGTTACCCTATTGTGTCTTAAAGCTTTAGCTAAATGATCTGCTCCTTTGTCCCCTATTTCATTGCGCCAGAGATCCACCGAAATCAGTTGCTAATCATAGAAGAAAATAATAGAAAAGAGCAAGAGAGTCATCATTACTTTATTCTCTCGTAAAGTATCCGCAAGATAATGCGCTCCAACGTCACCGATTTGATTCCATCGAACATGAAGTTGAACGAGTGTCTTTTCGCATATGAAGAAAATTTCTATTGTAAATATATGATCGAAAGAATAGATATTACTGTGTTATATTCTAAGGCATCAGCAAGATATTTTGCTCCATTATCACCGAGTCCATTGTTGTAAAGATCTAATGTTGTAAGTGCCTGAATGAAGATAGGTTCAATAACAGTAAAAAAAAATAACAGAAAAAATAACAAGAATTACCATGCTATTTCGTAGAGCATTAGCAAGATGTTGAATATCTTTTTCTTGCATTGGATGTTTGTATAACGATAGTGTCTGCATGTAACAAATCTGAATCTGATGAAAAAAAGAGATTAGAGAATTACTTGATTTTTTCGAATTGCCACAGCTGCTCCAACAGTCACACAATATGTAGTTGAATTACCGTCGAGGTTAAGTGAATCGAACGTCTAGACATTGATAAGAAAATTTTCGACTAAATGAAAATAAAGCAGAACTCTCACTGTGTTGGTTATTAATGCATCAGCGAGAGCTTGTGCACCTTCGTCTCCGATGTGATTTCTGTAAAGATCTAGTGTTTTCAGTGTCTGTCCATGGATAATACAAATCAATGTAGCAGAGAACGATCGAGGGAAAAAAACCCATGTGAAATTACTTTGTTATATCGTAAACCATCAGCTAAATACTGCGCTCCTTGGTTTCTAATTTGATTAGATCGAAGATTTAATGATTGCAGTGTCTACATGTACAAGAAAAAAAACCTGATAAATAACATAAAAATTATCAACACCAATAAATACCGAATTATTTTTTAATGCAACTGCAAGATGTTGTACTTCAGTGTCTGTAATATGGTTGAAGCTAAGATCCAATGTGATGAGTATCTATGCATATAGTAGATCTTTTTTACTTGAGAGATAATAAAAAAAGTCATGATTACTGTATTATGTTGTAGAGCATCAGTCAGATGTCGCACATCTTCATTTCCGATTCCATGGTCACATAAACATAGTGCAGTAATTATCTATGAGAATAGAGATGAAAACAGAATGAAAATCATCGTACGATGTAGTATGATAGATAGAAAAGAACG